AAATGGATTTGGCACTTCTTTAAAAAGCTAGAAATAGAGGTCCCATACAATCCAGCTATCTGGCCCCTTGGAATATATTCTAGAGAAATAAGAGACGTCACACGAATAGATAATGCACACCCATGTTCATTGCAGCACTGTTCACAATAGCAAAAAGATGGAAACAACCTAGGTGCCCATCAGCGGACAAATGGATAAACAAATGATGGTATATCCACACAGTGGTATACTACTCAATGATAACAGTGATGAAGCCATGAAACATAACATGGAGGAATTTGGAGGGAATTATGCTGAATGAATTTAGTCAGTCATGGAAGAACAAATATTGTATAAGACCACTATTATGTGAACTAAAGAAAAGGTTTAAACTCGAAGAAAACATTCTTTGATGGTTACGAGGGTGGGGAGGGAGGGTGAGGGTTATTTACTAACTAGATAGTAGATAAGAATTATCTTAGATGAAGGGAAGGACAGCACACGCTACAGGGGAAGTCAGCACAACTGGACAAAACCAAAGCTAAGAAGTCTCCTGAGTACAATCAAACACTTTGAGGGACAGAGTAGCAGGGATAGGGATCTGGGGACCATGCTTGCAGGGGACATCTAGGTCAATTGGCATAACAAAGCTTATTAAGAAAATGTTCTGCATCCTACTTTGGTGAGTTGCATCTGGGGTCTTAAAAGCTTGCAAGCGACCATCTGAGATGCATCAGTTGGTCCCAACCACCTGGAAATAAGGAGAATAAAGAACACCAGAGACACAAAGAAAGTGTTAGCCCAAGAGACAGAAAGGGCCACATAAACCAGAGACTTCATCAGCCTGAGTCCAGAAGAACTAGATGGTGCCCATCTACCACCAGTGACTGCCCTGACAGGGAATGCAGCAGAGAGTCCCTGATGGAGCAGGAGAAAGCTGGGGTGCAGAACTCAAATTCTAATAAGAAGACCAGACTTAATGGTCTGAATGAGACTGGAGGAATCCCAGAAAGCATGGCCCCCGGATTCTGTATCAGCTCAGAACTAAAACAGTTTCTGAGGCCAACTTTTCAGACAGGAATTGGACTGGACTATGGGACAGAAAGTGATAACTCGTGGGAAGTGTGCCTCTTAGCTCAAATAGATACAAGAGGCTAAATGGGCAGCTTCTGTCCAGAGGTGAGAGGGGAAGGCACAGAGGGCTAGGAGGTGACTGAATGGATATGAGGAATCAGGGGTGGAAAGGAGGAGTGTGCTGTCACAGTATGGGGAGAGCAATTAGGGTCACATAACAATGTATATATGAATTTTTGTATGGGAAACTAACTTGAAATGTAAACTTCATTTAAACTACAACAATAAACAAAAAAGAAAAAATAAAGAGATTGACTTAAGACAGTATCCAATCTTGTAGACATCATCATAGTGATAGAGTTTATAATGCATAAGGAGATCACATATAACCTAATCATAGTGATAAAGTTTACAACACATAAGGAAATCACATCAGATTACACAATCATACAATACTGGAATCATGACCCAGCCAAGCTGACAGATATTTTTGGAGGACACCATTCAATCCATGACAGTAATTCACCAAAAATGGTTGCAATTCAAATGCTGGAAATTCAAGCTGAATTCAGAAGAGGATGTGGAGGGATGTATATCATTGCTGATGTCGGATGGATCTTGGCTGAGAGCTGGGAATACCAGAAAGATGTTTACCTGTATTTTATTGACTATGCAGAGATATTCGACTGTGTGTATCATAACACATTATAGATGACATTGCAAAGAATTGGAATTCCAGAACATTTAATTGTGCTCATGAGGAACCTGTAGGTAGACCAAGAGGCAGTCGAACAGAGCAAGGGGATACTGCAGGGTTTAAAGTCAGGAAAAGTGTGTGTTGGGATTGTATCCTTTCACCATACTTATTTAGCCTGTCTGCTGAACAGATAACCTGAGAATCTGGAATATATGAAGAACTGGTCATCAGGATTGGATGAAGACTAATTAACAACCTGCGATATACAGATGACACAACCTTGCTTGCTGAAAGTGAAGAGGACTTGAAGTACTATACTGCTGATGAAGATCACGGATTACAGCCTTCAGTATGGATCACACCTCAACATAAAGAAAACAAAAATCCTCACAGCTGGACCAGTAAGCAACATCATGATAAATGGAGAAAATATTGAAGTTCTCAAGGATTTTATTTTACTTGGATCCACAATCAATGCCCATAGAAGCATTAGTCAAGAAATCAAATTGCATTGGGCAAATCTGCTGCAAAATACCTCTTTACAGTGTTAAAAAGCAAAGATGGTCACTTTGAGGGCAAAGGTGCACCTGACCCAAGCGATGGTGTTTTCAGTCACCTCGTGTGGGAAAGCTGGGGCAGTGAATAAGGAAGACAGCAAGAAGAATTGATGTCTTTGAATGATGGTGTTGGCGAAGAATATTGACTATACCATAAACGTCCAGAAGAATGAACAAATGTGGCTTAAAAGAAGTACTGCCAGAATGCTCCTTGGAAGCAAGGATGGCAAGACTTTGTCTCACATACTTTGGACATGTTATCAGAAGGTACCAGTCTGTGGAGGAGGACATCATGCTTGGTAAAGTAGAGGGTCATCGAAAAAGAGGAAGACCCTCAGTGAGATGGATTGACACAGTGACTGCAACAGTGGGCTCAAGCATGACGACAGTTGTAAAGATGGCACATAATTGGGCAGTGTTTCGTTCTGTTGTACATAGAGGTGCTGTGAGTTGGAACGGGCTCAACGGCACCTAACAACAACAACAATACACTACTGAATCATAATTCCTGTATGTTGAGGGCATAAAACTCCTAACTGTGGGAGCAAGCTGTATGTGTTTCCTGGATGCACTGCCATTGGGAAACATTTCTGTCATTCCTTTGACTAGGCTCAGAGTTGGGAAGTGGCAGTGAAGTAGGCATGTATTAGCATCCATCTGTTCAAAGCAAAAATGAAAATGATGCAGTTGTACTTGATTGGACCACAAAATAAGAATTGCGCCTGCATCCCAGAGGACGTCTTTGTGAGGAAGGCTTTTTATTGTTTATTTGCATCACATTGATCTCTTTACTGCTTGGGAAAAAGTATAACAGTGAGCAAAGAAGGCAGTGTTCCCTCATGTGATTTATTTGGTTCCTGCTTCTCCACTAGCGGACTAGCTTCTTGAGCGACATTCCCCAGCCTGTCTCCATGCTAGTTTATAAGCTCCATGAGGGCCAGGATTGGTATCTTTTTGTTCTGATGCATCCTCAGTGCTTAGTACAGGCCATGACACAGAGCAGGCACTCAGCACCTATACAGTTAGCTAGAACCCTAATGTTTTAATCACCTCCTATTCACTTAGTTGGTGAGGGAGGGTTAGCTGCCCTAGGGTTTATAGGGATGGTCAAGCACATGATACCTGACACCGGAGAAATGAGATTGCCAGCAATTTATTAGTCATGTATACTCACAGGTGGGGTGGAGGAGGAGCGCTGGGAGATGGACACTGCACACGAGGCTCAGCCACATGAGATTGCATTTGGGAGCAGAGTGAACAATAAAGGGCTTGGAAGGCAGGCTTCGTAGTATCAAGGAGATGGGGTGCCCCCTGGGATCCATGGGAGAATGTGGTTGACTTGTCTGAATAATTCCATGGGCTGGCAGGGAAGTGAAACCAGCTGCTTAGGGATAAGTAGAAACTGCTCCTGGTCCTTTCTATAAGAGGGGTTGTTTGGCTGTGGGACCCTATCTGTGGGAAGAGAGTGGGGAGGGGAACTTGTGGTTAGGCCATTTAAGGCCCTCTCTATTTTAGCAGACGTCGAGGCAGCATATATTATTGAACCTTAATTTTAGTAACACACCTAAAAATTGTATGTATTTCTAGTTGCTTAAAGTATTCCAGGTTTTTGTTTTGTTTTTCAGGAAAAAAGAAAACCTTTTTTACTCCCATAAACCAAATTTACGTAACATTTTCTCTCTCTCCTGCCATCGAGCTGATTCTGACTCATAGCAACCCTATAGGACAGAGTAGAACTGCCCCCATAGGGTTTCCCAGGCTGAAAATCTTTACTGAAACAGACCCATAAACCAAATTTACGTAACATTTTCTCTCTCTCCTGCCATCGAGCTGATTCTGACTCATAGCAACCCTATAGGACAGAGTAGAACTGCCCCCATAGGGTTTCCCAGGCTGAAAATCTTTACTGAAACAGACTGCCACATCTTTCTCCCAGGGAGCAGCTGGTTGTTTTGAACTGCTGAACTTTTGGTTAGCAGCCGAGAGCTTACCTACTGCGCCACTAGGGTTCCTTTTTACCTCTCTAAAAACCTGTTGTGTCGAGTTGATTCCAACTCATAGCGACCCTATAGGACAGAGTAGAACTGCCCCACAGGGTTTCTAAAGAGTGGCTGTTAGACTCAAACTGCCAACCTTTTGGTTAGCAGCCATAGCTCTTAACTACTGCGCCACCAGGGCTCCCTCTCTAGGTATGGGGAACGTGGTAGGAAGAAACTTTTGTCATACTGTCAACTACTCTACTGAATTTTCAAACAGAAAATTTTGTTTTGTCATAGGCTGATTACCCCTTAGTAAATAATTGTGGCCTTCGCTTTTTATTGCCTTCTATGGATTCTTTTGTTGATTTTGATCTCCTAACTGAGATTAGTCAGAGGGATGGGAAAATTCTTTTGGCATTTGAAGGGGGAGAGATAATAACCAACAGTGAAAACCAACATAAAGGAACAATAGACATCTTGGCAAACTTCTCTTTACTTAAAATGACCTAATGCAATCCATGTAAAAAGCCATCGACTGTAGAGTCGGTTAGCCAGTTTTGGAATACAGTGGGACGTGAAGATAGAGGACTTTTATTTAAGTAGCCAGCTCTGTAGGTTACAGTGAGCCTCAAATCAGAGCATTGGTCAGGCAGCTGTCCCCTTTCTTCATTGTGGTATAATATGCCCTGATGATTTTTTTTGCTTGTTTCTTAGTTTGACATCGACAACAAGATCGAGTTCTGATGCTCTGCAGGGGAGATATGCAGCTCCTGAGCTAGAGGTAAGTTCATTTCTTTTTCTTGTCTTGCTTCGTCTCAGAAGACTAGTTTTTTCATGAAGGCTTTTTGTGTTTATTTGTATGTGTATTGATCTGCATTCTGTGATCCTATTTTTCTCCTTGGAAAAGAAGATCAAGATTGTTTAAGAGAAAAAGAAGTGTTGTCCTGTACCTACTGTGGGATTAAAGTAAATCAGTTCTTGATACTCCTCCAGTGAAGTTGGTTTCTTGAGTGGCATCCTGCTGCCCACCTCCCATCAGAGGCATGAGTAAACTGTATCAAGCTGCACCCTGCTCTTTTTCTCTGATATGTGTGTGGTTTTTAACTTCCAAGTCCATTCATCTGTTTTATACCTGTCTGTGCCCCACTTAGCATGACTATGAGATTATGTAATAACTGTTCTGCAGGAAGAGAGAAAGATGGGGAAGAGAAGGGAACCAGCATCTATTAAGTTTCTGCTCTGTGCCAGACATTGTGCTGAGCATTTTAGATACATTAATTCATTTAACTGGGCAACAATCCTGACAAGTAGGAGTTGCATCGAGTAAAGAATTTTGAACAATAAATACATTGGTTTCAAGCTTGTGAGGCTTTTTTCCTGCCTGTGTAAAGAATTGGGGTGGTCTGCAGCTGCCCATTGGTCAGCAAAATGTTATTTTGTTATTTGTTCAAAATTCTTTATCCGGGACTCTATGGAACATCTGGAGTCCCTGGGTGGTGTAAGTGGTTAATGTGCTCGCTGCTAACCAAAAGGTTGGTTCGAGTCCACCCAGAGGTGCCTCAGAAGAAAGACCTGGTGATCTACTTCTGAGAAATTAGCCATTGAAAACTTTGTGGAGCACAGTTCTACTCTGACACATGTGGGGTTGCCCTGATTTGCAATCAACTCTATGGCAACTGGTTTTTTTTTTTTTTGTTTGTTTATGGAGCATAAAGCCAGAGTCCTAATCTAATGGAAGCAACCAGTAAAAGATTCAGCACTGGCCCCAAACAGAAAGAACTGGGGGTTCCAATGAAGGCTAGGACCTTAGACTTGCCATGTGCCGGACACTGTTCTAAGCTCTACGTATGTGATTTCATTTAGTCCATATAAAATCTGGTGAGGTGCTATTATTATCTCCATTTTATAGAGGGGAAAAACAGAAACACTAAGTTATTTAAATCCTGCCGGCTTCCGTTTGTCAGGATCTAAACTGTACTCTCTGGCTCTGAGGCTGTGTTCTTAGTCAGTGAAGCCCAAGAGCTCAGCTGCCAGGGTCTCCCAGTCCTTGCCGCTGACCGTGCCTGGCACCCGGCCACTGGCTACATTCTAATAGCTTTCTGTGGATGGAGGCACCCTATTAAATGTCCAGATACGGGCACTTTACTCTGCAGCTGGGTCTCTGAGGATGGTGTTTCCTGCACCTGACCTGGAGATAGTTAACAGTTATGAAGGGTTGTCAGTCTGCCAGCATTGTTCACCAGCTCTTTTTGTCACTTGAGAAAGGAGAAAACTGTTGAGTTTGAATAGGTTACTGCCCATTATTCTGAAGAGAATGGTCTCTAGAAGGCAGACGGATTGTTCTCACCAATGACTGGGTAACCACCTGCTGAGGCAGTACAGTCGGTTTCAATATCCCTATTGTGTACAGAGTTAAAGCTCAAAGAACAGCAAGTCTCTAAATTAGATTTAAGAGCGGGAAGTGGGGATGTTTTTCTTCTGCTCATTCCAAGGAAAGACATCCCAGTGTTTCTTTCTGACCTGGAGAGCACGCAGAAAGGAAGGTGGCTGGGTCTCCTTGCATCACATTTCACAGCATATACCTTTGAAACAGAGGGTTAATAGTTTGTCACAGTAACTTGAGCTTTAAAAAGAGGTAGGGACTCAGTACACGATGTCTTGGACCACTGAATGAGATTAGTGAATCTTAGACAGTGTCACCTGGTCCAAGATTCTGTCGGGGCTACTACTACCTCTATTACAAGTTTGCTTGCCATGCAGGGTGGAAACACAGGCTTGCCTGGCGTTGCATAAACGGATGAAGGCTCTAGCTCCCACAGCCTCTTTGTGCTTTGTAGTTCAAATATCTTCACCCAGAATGTACCAAGGATCCAGCACTTGCCAGACTGTCTTGGTACACGAATGTTTCCTACCTTGTTTGCCAGTCTTTCTGGACACATGCAGTAAGTTTTTTTTATAACCTGATATTTTTAAGTGTATTGTCTTGAGTAGGGAAGAAATATGGTATGAAATGCCAGAGGTGCCAAAGACTCTTCAATGAAAAGCTTCCCATCCACCCCTGTCCTAGGCAGCACCCACTTCTGTTCCCCTGGAGGCAGCCAGTGCAGCCCCCTGATTTTAATAGGAAATCTGGGTAGGCCTCCTGGGTCCAAATTCCTTAGCTTTTACCATTTCTGTCAGCTCCACCATCTCCCAGATATCGCATGTCACCTATTGCCTGTTGTGGCTCTTGGACCTTGGAGCCGCTATGCTGCATTTGTGTACAAGCTGTCACTAAGCTAGTTTTGTGACCTCAGGCTAGTTATTTAACCTGCCAGACCTAAGTTTTCTCAGCTGTAAATAGGATAAGAATCCCAGCCTCGTAGGTTTAAGAGGATTATTAGCACATAAAGCAAAGCACCAGACGGTGAGCTCTGTGGGAACAGGGACCTTGTCTTGTTCTCTTCATGTTGCAGGTTGAGGCCTCCAGAAGCGGAGTTTGATGTGCAGGGTATGTGTTAGGTATCAACACCCATATCCAAGGAAGGAAGGGGAAAGAGGCAGGACTGGGCAGAGGGTGTCGTCAAAGGGCAGCGCGGGCTGAACAAAGCTTCCGCCAACCCCGTAGGGTGCTGTGGAGCATAGATGGCCCATCAGAGTTGTCCCCCATGTGGTCAGAATGGCTGGGCCTTGGATGTGGGTTGCAGAGGAAAGGCTTGCTCTAGGACAAGGCAACTCTCTTCAGCTGAGGCAAAGCCTGAAGAGCTTATGCCTGGAGGCTAGCTGCCGACAGCATTCTGAGTAGTGTGAGCGAGCAACAAGTCCTTCCTTGAAGGAGTTGGGGGGCGGCACATGCTCATGTTCTTCGTATTTCCTATCACCACCACCCAGAACAGTACTTGGAAGAGGTAGGTGCTCAGTAAAAGCCTGTTGAAGGAATAAAATATGCAGTTCAGGGCCTGGGATGCAGTTCATATAGGTGAAGGTTTGGCGTGTAGGGACCTTAGTAGCTGTTAAGTTTCCATCAAGTCAGCTCCAACTCATGGTGACCTCATGTACAACAGAATGAAATGTTGCCCAGTCCTGCACTATCTTCACAATTATTGGTATGCTCGAGTCCATTGTTGCAGCCACTGTGTATTTTCAGTGCCTTCCAACCTAGGGGGCTTATCTTCCAGCACTAAATCTGACAATATTATGTTGATCCATAGGGTTTTCATTGGCTAATTTTTACAAGTAGTTCATCAGGCATTTCTTCCTAGTCATTTTTAATCTGGAAGCTTCACTGAGACCTGTCCACCATGGGTGACCCTGCTGATATTTGAAATACCTGTGGCATAGCTCTAGCTGTTGTGTAGGGTTTGATATCTTAGAAATTAATAGAGAGATTCTCAGGTTTGACACACGTAACCTTGTTTAGTTTTTCCGCAAGGTAGTCATGGCAAGGTATGCAAGTAAGACCTCACAACCGCATTCATTTAGAACCAGAGAATCAGAATTTACAATTACAATTATAATTCTCAGTGGTTAGAGTCTAAATTTTTAGACATCAGGTCTTGGGAGGAAAGTTTAACCATGCCTCGAATTCAGTGAGGGTCCCTTGTAGTTAGGGCCCAAGTTGATGGCGGCAGGCAGAATCTGTTATATTCTTGCCCTCTCAGTGAGTGACACCTGCGAAACCATAGCCTGTGTAAGGCAGAAACCTGTCAGAGAAGGAAAACTGACATAGTTTCCACTAATAGAGGACAATAGAAAAGTGGTAAGATTGCACCCTGTCAAAGGTGGAAGACTTGTGAGACCAGGAAAAACAAGGCAGCCTTGTTGAGTTCCGCCTCTCACAGGTTTCATTATATGTGAATATGTCACCTTGGCTCCGCAGTACGACATCAGAGACTACTGTGTTAAGTCTTTTCTCCAGCATTAGAGGCCAGCCAAATGACACATCTTTTCTTCAGGGTTAGAGATCAAGGAGCTTATTTATAGATGAGCTGTATTATGTTTTCTTATGTCACAGCTTGCTGGGTCAAAATGAATTTAAATGTTGTTTACGTTCTTGACATACTTCACATACTTCTCCGTCTAAGTTCAAAAATATATCTAACTTACTAGTGATTTACAGGTTTCTAATGACTTAAAGCTAATGTTAGACATATTTCTCTAAGTTCATATTATGAGTATTTATACCTTTGTATTTTGAAAGCAAAATAGTGTCTTATAGCTTACGGGATTTGAGATCATTATAGAAACATACAGAACACCAGCATCATAGCAACATGCAAGCCACCATGGTATGACAAACTGACAGATGGGTGGTGGAGGGAGCCTTAATGCTTCATTAATGTGGAGGTAGAAGAGCTGAAAACGGGCCACCTGACTCTGTTCTTGCCTTTACAGGTAGCTCGGTGTTGTTTTTGCTTCGGTCCCGACGGAGAGGGTAAATAGAGAACTTCTGTGCATCTATCTTGTACAAATGTGGCCCTGCAGACCTAGAGCCCTGCTCTGTAGCCATTTCGATTCAGACACTGATAACTTGAATGATAAGGGAAAAAAATTATTCCAACGCTGGTTTACTATTTATATGGTTTTCACATTCTTCCACAAGGGTTGCTGGGTTTTGTTTGTGTTGACATTCTGGCAGGGGAAAATCAGTCTATATTTTGGCTCATGTTTGAGTTAAATTATACAGTGAGATTTAGAGAAGCTGTAAGTGTATTTTTTAAGGAATGATTTGGAAAATACCAAGAGGTCCTGATAACCTAATTTTTTAACCATTTCCTTCCTTCCACTAACTTTTCTTATTGGGCTGGGGATCCAGGGCTTGGGAAATTTCAGTCTACTCTTTCTTTCTTTCAAGTTTCTAATAAGTCTTATGTTTTTAAGGGCTCTCTTTCTTCTGCTCTGTTAAAACAAATGTGGTATTAGGTTACTTGTCATGGTTAAGAAGGTACTGGGGTGGGGTGGGGTGGGGGTCTTGTGTTTATGGCAAAGATAAGAAGTTGCTGAGGATACAAAGAATTTTTGACATCTTTTCTACTCAACACCCCGAGATTGAAATTAGTGAGCATGGTTTTGCCAAAATAGCAAGTGTGCATATGTACACACATCAAACTTGTAATTCCCTCTGTGACCCACAGATGCTGAAGAGCAGCGGAATGAGAAAGAAGGGCCGCGGGTAATTTATGATGAGAAGAGAGGCACCGTCTATAGCTACTCCTATTTCCACTTCATGTTCTTTTTGGCGTCCCTCTATGTGATGATGACCGTTACCAACTGGTTCAAGTATGTGGCCCATTTCCTTAGACATTTTAGAAGGGGTGGTCATACATACACACATACATACAAAATAAATAAATAATAAATAAGGAAATAAACAAAAATATCCAGTTATTTCCTCAATCCATTGAGGTTCAAGGACTGAAGAGGTCCCTAGTAGACACTGAATTAAGATTTCAGGAACCACCTACCAGAACCAGTGAGGAGGAATGCTTTACTCATCTTTGGGGAGAGAACTGCTAATGTGTTACAATACTAGTCTTACTGCTTAGTAGTAATGAAGTTCACAAAGATCTGGATAATATTTTTAAGGATTTTTCCTTTATCATCACCCTTCCTCCATTCCCAGTTATCACCATTTATTTATTCTTACTTGACCACCGTAATTGCCCTTTTCTTTTTGGTAGTTCCCTATAGCCTCTCCTTATTCCTGTCTGTCCCCCCCAGATTGTTTGATCTTTTCACTTCAGCCATGATAATAATTTCAAAACACAGAGGAAAAAAAAATACATATATATCCAGTTAAGTACCGTTCTTAAAGGTGCTGAGACATAGATGAAATCTCCTAGAGTAAACTAAACTCTCCCAGTGCTGTATCAGACAATGTTCTGCTGCTATCCATATGGTTTTCACTGGCCAATTTTTTCGGAAGTAGGTTGCCGGGTAGTAGATTGCTGATGTCAGATGGATCTTGGCTGAAAGCAGAGAATGCCAGAAAGATGTTTAACTATGCTTTATTGACTATGCAAAAGCACTCAACTGTTTGGATCATAACACAATGTGAAAAATGGGAATTCAAGAACACTTAATTGTGCACATGAGGAACCTGTACATAGACCAAGAGGCCATTATTTGAACAGAATTGTATCCTTTAACCATGCTTATTCAATCTATATACTGAGCAAATAATCAGAAACTTGAGTATATGAAGAAAAATACAGCATCAAGATTGGAGGAAGACTCATTAACAACCTGCAATATGCAGATGACATAACCTTGCTTGCTGAAAGTGAAGAAGACTTGAAGTACTTACTGATGAAGATCAAAGATTACAGCCTTCAGTATGGATTACACCTCAACATAAAGAAAACAGAAATCCTCACAATTGGACCAATAACCATGATAAATGGAGAAAAGATTGAAGTTGTCAAGGATTTCATTTTATTTGGATCCACGATTAACACCCATGGAAGCAGCAGTCAAGAAATCAAATGATGTAGTACGTTGGACAAATCTGCTGCAAAAGACCTCTTTAAAGTGTTCGAAGGCAAAGATGTCACTTTGACTACTAAGGTGCACCTGATCCAAGCCATAGTATTTTCAGTTGCCTCAGAGGCATGCAAAAGCTGGACAGTGAATAAGGAAGTTGAAAGAAGAATTGATGCCTTTGAATTATGGTGTTGGCGAAGAATATTGAATATACTGTGGACTGCCAGAAGAACAGACAAATCTGTCTTGGAAGAAGTATAGCCAGAGTACTTGTTAGAAGCAAGGATGGCAAGATTTTGTCTTACGTACTTCAGACACGTTATCAGGAGGGACCAGTCCCTGGAGAAAGACATCATGCTTGGTAAAGCAGAGGGTCAGCAAAAAAGAGGAAGACCCTCAATGAGATGGATTGACACAGAGGCTGCAACAATGGGCTCATCTATAGCCCATTGTGAGGATGGTGCAGGACCAGGCGGTGTTGCCTTCTGTTGTACGTAGGGTCCCTATGAATCAGAACCAATTCGATGGCACCTGACAACCACAACAACAAACTAAACTCTCTCGTCCTGCTGCGCTCACAGCCTTTCCAGAAACAGTTCTGAGTTCCTAAGAGTCCACTGGCATGCTCTTTAACCCTGGAAATTGGCGAGATGTACTGTAACTTTAACAAAATAGAAAGCAAGCTCCATTATGGGCAATCTGGAAGCACATAGTAATAGTAATGGAGGAAAAACTTGGCGATGGAACATTTCTTACAATTCCTAAGCAGTCATCTGCTTTAAGAAAGAGGAAATATTATTTTAATTCTACATCACAAAAGTATGAGATGTGATGTTTTTGGAAAAAAATAACGTGAAGATATGGAAAGTAACTAAGTGACACTTCCCTCTCACTTCTCCCCAGCCAGAGATAACCACTGCTAACAATATGGTGCGTGTCCTTCTATTCCTTTTCTATGCATTTATAAGCATATATAATTTTTAAAAACATAAATGTGAATATACATATTTTCCCCCTTGAGGTGTTGTTACTCTTTTAACTTGGCAACACGTGAAAGACCTGACTGTCTGTGTCACTACATAGAGATTCAGGAGTCCCCGAGTGGCTGCTAACCGAAGAGAGGTTCGAGTCTACCCACAGACACCTTGGAAGAAGGACCTGGCAATCTACTTCTGAAAAATCAGCCTTTGAAAACCCTATGGTTTTCAAATCAGCCTGTGAAAACAACCCAAATGTCTATCAAATGATGAATGGATAAACAAAATATGGCATATCCATACAGTGGAATATTATCTGGCAATAAAAAGGAATCGAGTACTGGTACATGCTACAGCATGCATGAATCTTGAAAACATTATGCTAAGTGAAAGAAGCCAGTCACAAAGGACCACATATTATATGATTCCATTTATATGCAACGTCCAGAATATACAAATTCATACAGATAGAAAGTAAGTTAGTGGTTTCCAGGGGGCAGTAGGGATGATGGCTAAAAGGAATGTAGGATTTCTTTTTGGGGTGATGAAATGTTCTAAAGTTCATTGTAGTGATGGTTATACAAGTCTGTGAACATAATAAAAGCTATTGAATTGTACACTTTAGATGGCTGAATTGTATGGTATGTGAATTATATCTCAATAAAGCTATTTTAAAAAAAAAGAGAGAAGAAAGGATGGAGAGAGTGGGAAGCAGGGAGACACTTGGTGGATGAGACCTTCCTGCTCTGACCACATCTGGATCTCTTGTTTCCACAGCTATGAAAGTGCCAACATTGAAACCTTCTTCAGTGGAAGCTGGTCTATCTTCTGGGTCAAGATGGCCTCCTGCTGGATGTGTGTGCTGCTGTACCTGTGGAGGCTGGTTGCTCCCCTTTGCTGTCCCTCTCGGCAGTTCTCCGTGTGAGGATCTGAGCAAACCCTGGGTTCGGCACACCTGCAGGCTAGAGTGACGTCCTTTGAACAAGTGTCCCAGGTGTTTACACAGTGACTGGTGCCCTCTGAAAAGCTGACAACCCCCGACTGGCTTGAGTGGGTCTGAAGAAGCTTTCAGGAAAAAATCTTCTAATTAGCTTTTTAATTATGAAATTAGAAGAGAAACTACCAGTTTCTCCCAAAGGAATTTTCAACAAAACTGATCATGGGTGATATATTTTGTATGTCTTACTCCTAGATACTGGCATAGTAGTTATGTTGATATTTTTCTTGTATATATTTGTACCAAAACAGTTTGGGGCACAACATCTTTTCACAGGGATAAAAGCCTACGTCGTGTGGCCTGTCGTTTCTCATCCTTAGAATAGAAAGCATGCCAAAATCTTGAGCCTTCTGTCCCTGACAGAATGCAGGGTCCCTCTCAAGCTTCTCTGCCTCTGGAGCCCGTGGGCTGTGAGGACAGGTCTCGGGCTGCAAGCCTCATGCTCACAGCTCTCTGGTATTTATAGGGTCAAGGAGGCAGCACCTGCTTTTAAATTGCACCCTTAGTGCAGTTTCCTCATGGCCTCCAAATGATGTCCTTTGAAGTTGTGATGCTGGGAATCACAGACTTCACTTTTGCCCTCTGTCTTCCCAGAGGTACCCTGTCTTTTCTGGGCTCAGCATCATTATAATGTGAAAAAGCACAATTTGCCATCACCCCCTGGTGAAACTCCCCTTCCCCCAGATTAACACTACTTGATCCGAGTTACTGCAATAATTATGACTCTTACTTGTGTTGTCTTTCACATGGTTCCAGAACAGTATTCATGTTTTTCTTTGGAAGCCTATAATCCTTAATTGTTAGTGCTGTTAACAGTAATAATACTTCAGAGACCTTAATGAAAAGTTGCTTCTTGACTGAAGCCTGCTGCGCCCCTCTTTCAGTTGTTAAGCTCAGTACCTCGGTTTCCTCTCCACCTTGAGGCCTTTGAAATTGTAAATGCAAAGGGCTTTTGTATTCCAGATCTGAAATGTGACCACACTGTTAACATCCATTATGGTGTCCTAGGAGCAGAATTCCTGAGGTGAGGATTCCAGGCAGCAGCACCTCAAACAGGGATGACCAGATAAGGCCTGTTGTACAAGTTGTGGAAGTGACCAACTGTATTTAGAAGAAAAAGTGGGGAAGGAGTGGGTGTGGGTAATTGATTAATCCATGAACAACATCCACAGAAATTTCCAGAATACATACTTGTGAAGTAATGTTCATAACAGATTTGACTGTCCAAGAAGATGTCCATTTTCAGTGTTGATGTTCTCAGTCAGGGAAGAGGTTTACTCAGTTGGAAAGTCCTTTAAAGACATCAATGGAGACATAGCCAGGACTCGCCTGTTGGTATTTCATGTAGGGATGGAAAGAATGCACTCAGTCAGGTTCCCTGGAAAAGAGAGTCTGAGAATAAGAAGACTCAGCCTGGACCTTCTTTCTGTGCCCCACTTTTATGAGTTGGGCAGAACTGAGTCTCACTGAAGCTGGGCTCCAGTGTGCCAAAATGCTGGTGTGGGAAATTCTTCAAATTCTTCATTTGCCCTCCTCCCAAGGGAAAAAAAAAAGGGGGGTGGGTGAGTCAGGTGGAGTGCAGAGACAAATACAATGGATAGATTCCTTTAGGAACTTGCATTCTATACAGTGTTTGAGATTCAGTTTTTAAAGGCACTCAATCTGTTTAAGAGAGATGCTGCTTTTGTAAACTTTTAAAAGTTTCTTTATTTAGGGCAGGAGCTCTTTGTGCTCACCCTCTCAAAGATTCATCTGGAGTCACAAGTTGAATGGCCTCCTGCTACCCTCAGAAACCCTAAGTAAGCCAGTGGAAGGGGGGGCCCTGGGGGCACAGGCACAGGGAGCGCAGCCTGGGTGGTTTGTGTAGCAGGCCCTGTGGGGGGCCGCTACAGTGATTGGGGCAGGAACACTGGGGCTCTTGGTAAGCTCTGGCTCTGAGCAAGCTTAGGAAACACAAGAAGCAGCAGATCAAGAACCAGGGTAGTACCAGTAACTGGTCTCGTTATGTTTTCCTCCTGCTGAAGTCTAGTAGAGTCCTTGATTTTGCCCTCTCATTTGGGTCTGGCAGCAAGCTGGTTTGCCTTTGGAACCAGCACTGGCACCAGTTCAAGGTTTAGGTGGCAACGCCATGTATTATTCCTTGCCTGGCCCTTGTTGGCCTCCCTTCCCTGTAGCAGAAAAGCTCAGGAAAACACCAATGAAAAGATATTACCAGTAGCAGGACTGTTGTAACTTCCTTCATTAGCCAGTCTGGCGAACCTACGTTTTCCAGCTCCTTAAGGTTTGGTTTGTGGTACAAAATTCACCTCTGAAGGTTGGTCTGACACAGTGGAAGAAGTTTTAGTCATTGTAATTTTTATCCTTAACTGAAAATGTTAGAAAGTTTATCTGGCTAATCTAAAGAGATGTGGATATGCTTTGAGGACTGAGGGCGTATAAATACACCAATAAGAAGCTGACTTTAAGGATTACTAATTGTAATAAACAATACTCAGGTGAGGAGTTAACATTCCTGGGTTTAAAGAACCTATATTTTTGTGCTGTTGTGATTTAAGAAACTGGAAGAATTGTGCCAAATGTTTTGAGTTCCAGCAGTGATAGTGCTAATTTGATTAACTCACTGACAACTTTTTAAAAAGATAGACCTTTGTTTTCTACAACTTTTTGTATATGATTTAAAAAGTGCATTCCCAGAAGCTGCTGGTCAGACTTCTTTAGCCGAAGATTTTAAAAAGCTGTCTGTGTGTTTTCTCCGTGCCATTCTTCTGATATGGAGAAGATTGTAATAACCCACTCTTGTATTTTTTTCCCTGTTGTGTTCATAGTGAAACATTATTGTGGGGGGAGGGATATTTATGGGCGTGTTACTGTACTAGACCTGCTTCCTGACCGAAAACCAGAGACTTTTTCTCTCATAAGCCTTGGGAAACCGTACTTTGTCCGTACTGGATTGACCTTTAGTAATACTGGTTGGTTTTGTTCTTGACCTCACAGTGTCTTGGAAAATGGTTTGAGGGAATTGCTTGCCAGAGGTATTTGAACTCTTTTGTAGGGTCGATTGTGTGTATGTGGGTTGTTTGGAGGGTGGGGTTACTGGGGCTTTGGAATTCTGGTTCCCATAAGGAATGGCCAAAACAAGAGCTCCCACACCACATCTTTTCTTTCCAGTTCCTCAGAGGATCCTTCCTTGTGAATGACCTCCGTGTAGTGTTAATCCCCCGCTACCCAATATTGTCACTCTCGGCCTTTTGAAGATTATGTACTTATTTAATTTTTTCTAGAAGTTTACCACCATTGGTGCTTCCTGATACCCTGCAAAGGGAATCTCAGAGTGTTTATTTAAGCTTCCTGGGCTTTTTTCTGTCTTTACTGCCTTTCTAAATACTGTCTTATTTTGGTGTATGTTTGTGTCATACCTTTTGGAAATGAAAGAGGGCTTAACCTAGACCTAAGAAGGGTCTAACCTTGTGCTAAGACCCTGCACACCCAGAAAGAACACTGGGCCTTCTGTAATCAGGGACAATGCAGTAGCCACTTGGCTCATAGAATTCTTTGTGGAGTAGTTTCTGTAACTTGCCAATAGAAGAGCTAACTTCTAATGGCTTTGTTCTTAAGACCCCACCATGTTTTCTGCCATTGTCAATATGTTTGTAAAGCTGTCCAACATTTAGTTTAGTTTTGTATTTCAGGCAGAGATGGGCTGTCTAATGTTGGACCTGCTCCTTCACAGGAGTGGAGAGCTTTTTTATATAGATCTTTAGAACAAATGCTACCCATTCTAAAGATCTCTTTTTCAGTAAATCAAATTTGCAGAGACAGTCATTCTGAAAGGGGAAAATATTTGGCTTTTACCAAAGAGGTATTTGTCTCCCCCCACCGCCCCCCCTGCCAAAAAGCAAAATCTTTTCAGAAAAAAACTTAAATGGGAAAAGACAGAGAACAACAGATCAATAATGAATATTTCCAAATCTACTTCTGTAGAAGTTTAATCATTTATATGAGTAAGATAATAAAAGACCTCTTTAAGGCAATCCTTTGGGGTAAAGGGTCCTGGGAAATACTCTTAGGTAAAAAGAAAGTTTGCAGCAAATGTATAATATATGTCTTGAGAGATATATATAAGAAATTTAAGAGAGTTGTTTTGTTTTTCTTTATTAAATAAAGATTTACATTTTTTGTTTTTTTAACTTTGCAAAAAAAGTCTACAAAAATTTTATAGTCTTAGGTGGTTAAGTTTTGCAATTTTTTTTTTTAACTTTTCTGAAACCAGTTAGCTGTAGCAAAATTATGTGGTTATGTGTTGCTGTATTAGAATTTGAAAATGTAATATGTGTAGCAAGTCTACTACTGTTAGAAATTTATAATGGTCTCTGAAGTGGTTAGGATTTTGATAACTTTTCATAGTTATTTTTCACCCTTGGTCACAAAGCCAACTATGGATTTATATTTGTTTTTAGAATGCTAATTTTTCTATAAACTGTCTGAAGCTGACCAGTCTTTTCTTCTGTAGAAAATGCAAAAATTGTTAACTCTGTACTTTAATAAAATTGAAAATCATGATGTCTTTTATCCATTCTGTTAAAACCTGTTGCGATCGAGTTGATTCCAACTCATAGTGACCCTATAGGAGAGAGTAGAACTGCCCTATGGGGTTTCCAAGGAGCACCTGGTAGATTTGAACTGCCAGCCCTCTGGTTAGCAGCCACGCTTTTTAACCTCTCTGCCACCAGGGCTCCACATCCCTTCTGTTAGATGGAGGTAATTATTTTCTCAAGATGTTGCCTTCAGATGTTATTCAGGCATCTTAAGTATCATAAAGTTGGTTCTAACTCTTGAAAATGAAAATACAAACATGAAAACCCAAGCTTTTGGTCTTCTTCCTCCTTGAAAGGATCTGTGGAATGCTTCGTTTTTTCTCTCTGCTTTTATCACTCTCCTTAGTCATCTGAGTCGCAAAACCAGAGAAGCAGCAGGTTTTACACTGGAAAATTGACACTTGTTGGAATCGAGCTACTCTGTGGAGTTTAACCTTTGCCTTCCCCAGGAAAAGGTATGCCTGAATGTCTTATGGGTGCTTGTCTTGTGTTTTGAAAGAGGGTAGGTTTCAGCTATTTTGATTCTGCAAGTGTTTAAGGACACTGGGTATTTTCCAGGAAGTACTGCTTTGGGTTGTTGTTGCAGGTGCCGTCCAGTTGGTTCCAACTCACAGCGACCCTATGTACAACAGAACAAAACACTGCCTGGTCCTACACCATACTCAAAATCACTATGTTTGAGCCTGTTGTTGCGGCCACTGTATCAGTCCATCTCGCTGAGGGTCTTCCTTTTTTTTGCTGACCTCTACACTGCTTTGGATAGGCCAATTAAAGTAGCACATCCTGCTGGTCCGAAGGAAGCCCCTTTGATTTTGGTCACATTGCTCAAGTTAGATACAAATGATTGTTGTGAAGTTAAATGTCCCTCAACAAATTGGTGCAGTGGATATCAGCCTGGTCTAAACATGACTAAGCAGTGAGCCAAAAGCAATGAACAAAGACAGTCCTCGGCCTCATGTATCCCACCCTTCAGAGGCAGAGAAGGAGCCATACACCACTGACTTGTACAGTCATCTGTCTCCTTAACCCTGGTAGGGAGTTACTATGTGTATATGGACAAGGTTAGGAAACAGGAGAGGCCGTCCTGGGGAAGGGACAGTTGAGTCAGGCTTTAAGTAGTAAGTAGGATTTCCACTGGTGAAGAAAGAAGGGAGAAGAAAGTTCTTTTAAAAAGACATAAAATGGCCACAAATCCATAGGTATGGCTGAACACTGGGCTTATTCTGATGCAATTGGCAGCTGTTGGAAACTAACAGCAAATACGATTAGAATCATAAACAAATAATTTCTTTTACAAGGATCAGCACAAAGCTGGGTCCTATGAAGTGGAAGTCAAAGATGTCCCAAATGTCCAACTCTTCCAAGCTGCTGTAGCGCTCCATCATCTCAAACATCAGCTACTCCCTCTCCCCTCAGTACTCTCCTTCCTGTCTTTAGGTTCCCTAATTTGATGGAACGTCTCGCAGAACTCACGAACTGTATCAAGGAAATGGCTCATGCGGTTGTGGAGGCTGGCAAGTCCCAAATTCGTGGGTCAGGTGTAGCCTTCCCCCTGGCCCTCAGTCTCTGCCCAAACGCCCTCAGCTTTCTCCTTCTGTAGGCCAGGAAGCCCACTGCCCCATCTCCTGAAAAGTCTCTTCTGCTGGTCTCTGCTGCCAGTCTCTCCTTCCTTGGTGGTGGTAGGCTTTTCTCTCTGCTCTGGAATTGGCTCTCTTCTCAGGCAAAACTGACCAGTCCTCTTTTGTTGTTGTTAGATGCTGACTCATAGGGTTTCCAAGGAGTGGCTGATGGATTTAACTGCCAACCTTTTGGTTAGCAGCTGAGCTCTTAGCCAGTACGCCACCAGGGCTCCTTGGTGGGCCACAATTATATTATTTGCACAGCCCTGCCCAATCACCTGGGTGGGTGTTACAAGACATGGCAAGAAAGGCCATACTAAGTAATTTATCATACGGAAGGTCATGTCTTCGTAACGTGGCTCAGATGGATTGGATTGATAAAATTGGGAGCTAGGGAGGTGGTCAGCTAAAATCCCAGCAAGAGATGGCTAGACTGACCTAATATAGGTGTTATGGATTGAATTGTGTCCCCCTAAAAAATGTGTGTCAACTTGGCTGGGCCATGATTCCCAGTATTGTGTGATTGTCCACCATTCTGTCATCTGATGTGATTTTCCTATGTGTTGTAAGTCCTACCTCTATGATGTTAATGAGGTGGGATTAGTGGCAGTTACGTTAATGAGGATCACTCAATCTACAAGATTAGATTGTGTTTTTAAGTCAATCTCTTTTGAGATATAAAAGAGAGAAGTGAGCAGAGACATGAGGACCTCATACCACTAAGAAAGCAGCGACAGGAGGAGAGCGCATCCTATGGACCTGGGGTTCCTGTGCTGAGAAGCTCCTATATCGGGACGATTGATGACAAGGACCTTCCCCCAGAACCAACAGAGAAAGAAAGCTTTCCCCTAGAGCTGGCACTCTAAATTTGGACTTCTAGCCTCCTAAACTGTGGGAGAATAAACTTCTCTTTGTTAAAGCCATCCACTTGTGGTGTTTCTGTTATAGCAGGACTAGATAACTAAGACAGTAGGCTACCCAGGTAGAAGGATGGAACAATTGACTAGAAAGGAAAGAGTGAGGAGAGGAAGAAAATAATGTGAGCTTCTAGGTTAATCCAATGATGAGGATACCAACCTATAATAGTAAACATCGACACAGAAGTATTACTTTATTCCTCCACAGTCCTAGGGTGGTACTACCCTGTTTTATAGGTGAGGAAACTGAGGCACAAATAGGTTAAGTAATTGGTTCAGAGTTGCAACTTAAGTGATGGATTCAGGAAAAAAGGCACTCTGACTCCAGAGCGCACACTTAGGCATTTTCCATAAGCAGAAAGATAAACTTTAAAGAAATTCATACATGAAATTTAAAGATAACTCAGAGCTCCATACTGATATTTCTGAATCTACTTAGCATCATATTTGGTAAAGTCAAGGGACAATGAAAATGAGGGAAACTTTTCAATGAGATGGATTGACACAACTGTTGAACCCAGACACACCAACGATCTTAAAGATGGTGCAGGACTGGGCAATGTTTTGTTATACATAAGGTCGCCATGAGTTGGAGCTGACTTGATGGCAACTAACAATAATTGAAGACTATAGGCATTTTACTTCCCTGTTCTATATTATATTAGCATCTCATTTCTTCTACACCAAGAATTCTGTCTCCAAAACACACAGAATGATAGACTATTCCAAATTTAGCTTTATCCCACATTTCACACTCAGCAGTCTCAGAAAATACACAATTACCACCAATTATGATTAAACTTATTATTTTTTTTGCTTATTACCATTTTCCATGCATTTTTTAAAATAGTTATTGTCCCTGGGTGGTGCAAGTGGTTAATCATTCGACTACTAGTTGAAAGTTGTCAGTTCGAATCCACCCAGAGGTGTCTTGGAAGACAGATCTGGTGATCTGCTTCCGAAAGGTCCCAACCTTGAGTACCTTATGAAGCAGTTCTACTCTGTGTACTTGGGGTCGCCATGATTTGGAATCTACTCGACAGCAACTAACAACTACATCTACAATGCAAAAGCTTATTTTTGTTGTTAGGTGTCTTTCAGTTGATTCTGACTGAGAGAGACCCTGTGTACAATAAAATTAAACATTGCCTTGTCCTGCACCATCCTCACATTCATTGCTATATTTGAACCCATTGTTGCAGCCACTGTGTCAATCTGTCTTGTTGAGGGTCTTCCTCTTTTTCTCTGACCCTCTACCTTAGCAAGATGATGTCCTTCTCTAGGGGCTGGTCCCTCCTGATAACATGTCCAGAGTACGTGAGCTTATCGTGATTATATATTATACTTCCCTTCTTTTAATCCTCATTTAGTCTTAATTCTATAAATAGCTGTATGTTAATGACCATTACCAGTCGTCACGACTATTACCAATCCAGTTATTTGGGTTGTCCAAAGCTTATTCTCTAGTAAATCCCTCGTGAAGAGCTCATGGGAACAATATTCCTTGAGTTCTTGCATGCTTATAACAGTTTGACTGTGTTGGTTTCACTGGAGATAAAATCCCACGGTCACATTTTCTTTTTTGAGTTTAGGATGTATTTTCTTCTGACATGAAGTGTTGCTGTCAAAAAGTGGGAAGATAATAGAGTTTTCTTTTATGTAGGTCACTTGCTGTGCTTCTCTAAGTGCTCAAAGAATTTTTATTCTTCTAATTCAAATAATTTTATTAGTATATGTCTTGGTTTTAGTCTGATTTGTTTTTCCTAGAGTTTTATAATAATAGAATCACACAATATGCACAATTTTATGCCTGCTTTCTTTCACTTAACAGTTTTTTGATGTTGATCCATGTTGCTGCATGTATCAGTAGTTTCTTAGTTTTATTTGCTGAATAGTATTTTATTGCATGAGTATACAATAAACTGTAGCCATTTACCTGTGTATGCACATTTGACTTGCTTCTAGTTTTTGACTATTATGAATTAAAGCTGCTATGAATATTCACATTCAAGTCTCTGTGTGGGCACCTATACAAATCTTGCGCATATTTTGTTAAATTACTCTTAAGAATTTTATATTTCTGGGTGCTGTTTTATATATATATATATATATATATATATATATATATATACTTTAATTTCAATCTCTGCTTGTTAAAAGTAAATAGACCCACACGAACCACGGCCTCTTCTAGCCTGAGACCAGAACAAGATGGTGCCTGGCTACCACTAACCACTACTGACTGTTCTGACCAGGGACACAATAGAAGGTCCCAGATAGAATGGGAGTAAAATGTGGAACAGAACTCAAATTCCTAAAAAAGACCAGACTTACTGGACTGATAGAGACTAGAGGAACTCCTGAAACTGTTGCCCTCAGATACCCTCTTAACTTGGAACTGAAGCGACTCCCAGAGGTATCCTTTCAGC